AATTCTCAGTCTTTGAGCAGTTTTTAAAAAAATAGTTCTCATTAAATGACCAATAGAGTTTCAAGGAATAAAAAACAGATGTACATCTTCTTTTTTTAATGTTATAAATGATGTTGATGTTGTATCTTTGTGCTTGTGTCAGGTGAAGCAATTTGTGAATATTCGGGATACCAAAGCCCATCCAACGGCCGTTTTCTTTTCATGCATGGACGCGAGAATGTTTCCTGCAAGGTGTTGTTTCCGCTATTTCGTTGTAGTGACTAGCCGTAGTCTCCGAAATAGTGATAGACAGAATTGGTAGCTGCGATAGAAGAGATCAACTCAATCAAAATCGCTTCAAGATAGACTATTTAGAAAATTTTTAGGATCACATCGAGTCAGGTAGGAGACATGTACGTAGTTCGCAATCCAGGCAGTATGGTTCCACATGCAGACAGTTATGGTAAGCGAAGTATATGTATCGAGTTAAAACAAATGTCATCCCAAATCTTTCTCTCTTTTCAGGGGCTTGCGGCGGCGAAGTCTCTGTCACGACCGAAGCTGCAGGATTAGAGCTGACTGTCAAGAGGGGTGGTATTAAACACGTAATCATATGCGGGCATTCCAACTGCAAGGCCATGAACACTCTATATGGTCTTCACAAAAACCCAGATGTTTTCAATCCGAATTCTCCTTTGGATCACTGGATTCGTAAACATGGATTTGCGTCACTAAAGAAGCTTGAGGAACGTCTAGCTGATAAGAGTGCAAAGCCATTGAAGTTTATCTCAAATAATCCGGCTTTTAGGTGAGTTAACTGAGAATTTCTTTTTTTTTAAATGTTTGCGGAGCAAGTTTTTATAGTTTCGAGGCATTAATCGATGAAGAGAACAAGTACGATGTTGAGGACAAGCTTTCACAAATCAACGTGCTGCAGCAGCTGGAACATTGCGCTAGCCATGGATTTATGAAGGTCGGTGGGGCCGCTTGAGAGCTGATTAATGCTTAGAGGAATGAATGGATCACTGCTGGATTAAGCAACCTTCAATATAGCTTATCTGTTAAGATCGTCTGCACTTTGGAGTATTCCAAATCTTGAGGTGTCATCTTGGCGAGTTTGAATTCTTTTAGGAGCATAAATTGAATATTCTCTTAAGGGCATATCAATCTTCAGAAGGGTAATCCCAGTGAATGAGTCAGAAATGAGTGTGATGTTTGTTTCTGACTTTTTCATGATCATTGAAACTTGTGGCATTGTTATTGTAAATTCAATTCGAAGTGCAGCTGATTTTATCAACGGACCAACAATTTAACTATTCTTTATTGGCTATTCGGCGGTTTCGCCTTCATCAGAGCCTGGAAAGTCGAACACAATTCATTTTCAGAAAAAAATTC